CCCCCCTCCTTCGGCCACGTCCATAGATCACACAGAGCGTACACAGAGGCGTGCCCGCACACACACACACACACACACATCTACAAAGTCAGCCAGGAGGGGTGGGTGGGAGTAGTGTGTGTGCGCCTGAGTTCTGTTCAGCGAGCAGTTGACCCCAGATGACTCAGTCCAGAAGGGGGCGGCAGTTTGGAAAGATCGGGCGCCTAACAGCACGCGTAGACTTTGCACAAATGCGCAGTGGCGCCTCATGAAGTGGAGAGGGGGACAGATGTTTGATTGAGAAGGCAAAAAAAACTGTGCGCCTCGTGGTCTGACACGCCACGGCAGTTGGCCGTCCCGATGCCAGTGAGAAGACAGGCTACCCGATGCGGAACAGGTGACCCAGCAAAGGTCAGTAATTAATACGTATGAACTGCAAAATCGGCATCTAGGGTGACAACTATTTTCTTCCCACTAACCGCATAATCACATGCGGGTGACGATTATCAACTATTACCCTGGTCCACTACATCAGCTTCTGTCAGCCATCATTTTGATTAACTGTTCCGTAAAATTTCCACCCGTCTGACGACGACCTGGTGAGCCAGTGTCGAAAATTCACCCTATAAACCACCGTTTCCCAAGCTACCTCTTCTACTGAAAGTCAGTGAGGTTTTACTTCTCAACGAGTGTGTCCTGGGTGCACTACATGCCAGCACGTCCTGCGGACACAACCATTTGCGATCGTATACTCTTCAGGTAACAATGATCACCCTCTCCCCCCACCACGTGACAAGTATTTCGGGCGCCGACCATAAGAAGCTCAACATCGTAGACAGTCGTCCATTTACGGCATTGCAAGCAGTGGTAAATTGCACTCACTGACTGCCTTGTGCTTAGAACTTCGATCGGCAGCCCTTTAAGCAGCAGGTTAACGGCGCAAATAAGGGACATTGAAAGGGAGCCATTTGTGGTTTAATAGCCATCATCAGCCAACCTCAGATATGCTGGAGTTCGGGACGGG